TCCGTTGTTCACGGTGACATCTATACAGAGACCGAAGAAAACCGAGAAATGGGTCACCCAGTCACTTCCTGTGTCGATGTGGAATAAGGGCTGAGGGGTGGGCATGTGTTGAGAGTGAGTGTGGGAGAGCTGTTTGTGTGTGTGTGTGTAGGTGTGTGTGTGTGTGTGTGTGTGCGTGGGCGTGTGTGTTTACATGTCCTGTCAGGTGGTCCTGGCGGTGTGTGTGCGTGTGTGCGAGTGAGCGTATGTATTAGAGTGTGGTTTGACATTTAACTCTGACACAACCAGCGACATCCGCTCACCCGAGACAGTTTATCATATTTAGCCATCTAAGTACGAAAACACCTGAGATGTTCGTTTTCATCAACATTTCTACCATTCGTCTTTTTTTTTTTGCACAACACTTCCCCACACTGATCTTATCAGGACAGCTTATTAAGTCATTCTGATACATTCGAGTGCAAATTAAACCTCTTTTTCCCCCCCAGGTGCTGTTTTAGATATTAATGCATTCAGACCCATTCACACAGCTTTATATCAGATGTAGAAATCTGAAAATAACAGTCTTATTTTCACAGAATTAAGCAGTCTAACCAAATAGGAATGTAAATATCTACAAAAGAGCAAGCAGTTGCCACATTCATTTGTACACCTGTGCAAAATCATTGCATGTTTAGTTTTTGTGTGAAGCGTAGATGAAATTTTGACAGCTATACTGAGGCGTTTACGCAGGAACCCAGAGTTGTGCTGGTGTGGTCAGATGTACCACAGATATATGAAGCGTGACTGTTTTTCTCATGTGCAGAGCCTTGAAAATATATTTATACACATGTTTTTCTTCCCTCCCCACACTGCATTTATCACATGCTGCAGTTGTGTTGAGATTTTATCTGATAGGACAACAGAATAATAATAATAATAATAAAAAGATTCAATCAGTTTTGAAATTAAAATCTTAATTACAGTGGTTTTAATTAAACAATTTTTTTTAATGTTTTTGTTTTTTAGCACCCTTTATTCACGGATCTCTAAATAAAATCCAACCACGTGACCTATTTATTTTATTAATCAGAGCCAATCTGGGTGGAATTTATTTTCCAGTTTTATTTTTAGATTTTTAATTTTAACATAAATATCACACAAAGACATGAGAAACTGCAATGAGACCCATCAAGAAAAGAAAAACAAAGAAAAGACATTAAGGTTGTTGTTTGATATTATGACTAGATGGAGGATCAGATTGTTTGATCATTTTTGATGTCTTAAATAAAAAAAATGCAGATTTTTCTAAAGAAATAGAGAACAAAATAAATAAGCAACAAGAATCAAAAAGTTTAATTTCCAAAACAACAAAGGATCCGCATATCTTTGCCTTTATTTTTAAATGTTAGAGGATCTGTGGAGGATAAAATCTTCATATCTTAGTTTTTCCAATATCAGTCAATCAAGTTTGTTTGCATAGCACATTTCAACAACACAGTTCAAAGTTATTTTATTTTTATTGTTTTTACATCAAAAGACAAAAATAAAAAGTCATAAAAACATCATACAATCACCAATTGAGAAAACCAGAAACAGACATTACATTTTGTCATCAGCAGACATCATATATATTGGTAAATATTTAATTTATTATGGTTAAAATGTAACTCCAAGCAGGCGGGGGTTTAGCCTTGATTTAAAAGAACTCAATGTTTCGGCTGTTTTGCAGTTTTCTGGAAGTTTGTTCCAGATTTGTGACGCATAGAAGCTGAATCTGGGGAAAAAGTCCACCTGAGAGTCACTTAATGTCAATATAAATCCAGCAGTTCTGTTTCTGGCTGTGGAGGTTTGAGGGAGAAGCAACAGCATCATGGAGATCAACGAACTCAGAACGCAGGTCAGGGAGAAAGTTGATGAACAGTAAAAATAATAAAGAGGTATATCTGATATGGTCACAAGTCCAACATGTGTAAGAAGGTTCTCAATGGAGGTCAGACAGAAAGAGGATGTAAAAGATGAAAACAAAGCAGAAGTTCGTCTTTCTGCAGCACAGTGACCGCAAGAGCTAAAATGTAGGCGTTTAGATGACGTGTCAGAATGGCCCAGTCAAAGTCCAGGCTAAAAAAAAATGTCAAAAGTGCGAACGAGTTTGATAGCTATGAATCCCAGTTGACAGCGCAGAAAAGAGCAATGATGGTCGGGGCTTGTTTTGGACCTCTAACCCACAGCGGACAGACAGGACGGAGGACGGACCCGGACATGAGCGCCACCTGTTAGTTTGTGAGCCACAGCGACCGCAAGGGAAAAACAAGTTTCTCAAGAACACTCAGACAAGTCCAGAACATGCGCAAAAAAAAAAAAAAAAATTCCCTGTTTGCAACATAAAAGCACATGAAAAAAAAGAGAGAGAGAGAGAGAGACTTGTGTTTCACACACATGTTCTCTTGCATACGTGTGCTGCAGGCCGAGTGGAGCCAGACGAAACGTTCTCAACGGCTCTCTGTCTTTTTTTTCTTCTTTTTTTTCCCGAGCTAAACCACAAGAATGCTTTGAGGTCTGAAGTTTGAGCTCACCTCTGCTTTTCTCAGTTTGAATGCACTTCCCCTCTAATCACGCTGATGCATCCGAACAACATATCTTGAAGAAAAATGAGAGTGGGGTTGCGGTCGGAGGGGGCTTCGGGGTGTGGAAATATCTTAATTTCACCACAAAAAATCTCTTAACCCTTGAGATCAACAGAAGAATGCGAATATCTGATCTACATTTGACCGCAGGCCCCAGCTGTTTGCTCTGTTGCTTCTTGTGAGTCGGTTGCATGAGCTTCAAATTCTGCTGTGGTCTGCAGACAGGAGGAGAAAATGCTTCCACTGCAAGGTGGGAGCTTCTGACTTCATTCATCGGGTGCGTGGGGACTGAGAGTCGACATGCAGCTGGGGACCTTTAGGAACTTGGACTAAACTCATAATAACAGCATCACTGCAATGTTCAAAGCACAGTATTTTCTGGACTATAGAGCGCACCTCACTATAAGCTGCACCCACAAAGTAAAAAAAAAACAAACAAGCTGGAAACATACATATATATATAAGCCACAGCAGACTATCAGCCACAGCAGACTATAAGCCACTGGTATCTCCGCCGCTCTGTTTTCCACAATCTGCTATTAAGAGCACAGCCCTGTGTCTCCAACGCCGAACCATGGATTCGTTCACGTTGAGTTTACATGCAGCGGTTATCGATATGTACTGCCAGATCGATAACCTTCAACTTGAAAGCTGCATCACATGAACTTCTTCCTGTTGTTTCCATGATGAGGGGTTATGAGTTTGAAAACATTTCTCCGTAGTGTCTGCTGCTAACAAGTGCTTGTTCCAATTTTGACTTCCAATGATTCACTTCCTGCTAAAGCGCCCCCTGGTGGTTGAAGAAAAATCCACAGAAAAGCCGTATGGTTCAAAGCGTGGGAAAAAAGTAGAGGCTTATAGTCCGAAAAATATGGTATTAATACTGCGTCCAGTTTTGCTCTGAACTGGGAAATCCTGACTTCTCAGTCGGAAAAATCCTGACTGTTACATGTTCCCAATCCAGATTTCCCACTGGGAAACTGAGAGCAACTCCGACTCCCCGCCAGTTACAACTTTGCGTTTCAACATGGCCGCTCCTCGCATCAGCAGTAGTGGTGGTGGGAAACGTGTTTATTTTACAAGACACGTGGTAAAAGTACGTCTAAAATCAACGTTACATGTACCGCCCTGAAACGCAAAACTGAGCGAATTCAAACTGCTGTTTGCTTAAATTACGTTTGAGGGCGCCGCCATGTTGAAATTCCCACTTCTTAACTCCGAGTTCCCACTTCCCAGGTAACTGGAGCGCAGCGTTAAGACTTTGGTGAGGATTTCAGAGGGCAACAAGTGGGTTTATACATGACTAATAAGTTGCTATTTTTGGCTAGAACCAAAACCAAAACAATCGACATCGAGATCACCCTTCACCCAACGATTGGTACGGTTCCAAACAAACCCTACAGCAGATAGTTTGTGTTGCTCTGATACAGCAACCAGGAGAATACTGAAAACTTTTTCATGAAGCATGAAGCCTTGTACAAAATGTCAAAAAAATCTGTTCATTTTGCTTGAAACAGCGCCCAGAAAAACACCAATTTGTGGATAACGTTCTGTGTGTTTTCACATGCAGTCTGGTTGGGGGTCATTGTTCATTTGAAAAACCTCTTTTTGCCCAACGTTTAACTTCCTGGTTGATGTCTGGATATGTTTCTTTAATATCCGTTCATTATGTTTTTCTTCCCTAACAATTTGAATTGTTTTGAGAAGCGCACCAGTCCCTCCTGTTGCTTTGAGGTTAAAGATTTCACAGAGTCTTTAGCTTTTCTTTTGAGGTGGATTTGAACATTTTACACCAAAACTTATACATCTTTGAAACGCAGAGCCCGGTCTGCTCCCCGTAACTGTCTGAAGGACATAATTGTGTGAAGAGATTAAACAATTATAACTTAGGGATGTGAAATGACGCCCAGGGATGAAGCAAAATCTCAAAGACGCATAAGTCTCTTCCTTAAATTTTGTGGGTTAACCAATCAGAAAACAGCATATCTGAGGAAGGTAAATCTAGATTAAGTCGAATGTTGTGAATTAATCCAGAAGCGTACAAATCCATAGCATCATAATCTGGGAATAAAGATCTCAGTGGATGCAAACTTCTGAATTTAATAAAATAAAAAAAGAATTTGGTCTCATTTTCTTGCCATTTATCAAATAGAAGTAGTTTAGGTAACCCAAACAGAAAGCTTTTAGTCTTCCTCCCTCCAAGCAGCTGAACTCAAAACTCGACTCCAGAGCTAATCAAAACATTCCCTTTCTGTTTCCCCTCGTCTTTCCGCTGGATTCCCTCATTCCTTGCAGCTGGCTCTCTGGAAATTTGAGAGGAATTCAGTGCGGGAGAAAGGCGAACCCTCCAGGGAGCGACGAGCGGCTTCCTGTGTGTCCAATCCAGAAAGTGTTTGTCAAGGCTTCATTAAACCTGAGCAGCAGTTGAAGTGAGATTTTCCCATCAGTCTGGGCGCTTTCAGAGTGATTAAAAACATTTCAAAACAATCAGGCATGGAAATCATACCCCACGTTTTTAGTTATTGGAAAAACGCACGACGCTGTCGCTCTGTTTAACTCAGGGGTCAGCAGGAAGCTGCTGAGCTTTGATCACCAGCTGGATGCTGCTGTTGCATAAACAGTCATGAAGGAGGGATCAGGAGAAAGAGGGATTTCCTCTCGGGGAAACTTCACTCACTCTTACAGAAACACGGGAAAGCTGCGGACTCGGGAATCTGCCTCCTGAAGCCGAGGTGAGGATCACTAACGTCCACTTTGTCTGGGTGATCAGTCTGTTAAGCTGCAGGTGCAAAACTGCGGCATGGCACCGACATGCTTTGAAAAATAAGAAAACAAAACAAAAAACTACTGAGTAGGAAAGGGAAGCTGCAGGCGGTTCCTTCTTTAAATTTTTAAAATCTTGGTTTGATAACATGGCTGCGTATATGGGATTTGTTACAGAAGACTGCTGTTTAGGAGACGCGTTCAGAAAAAAAAAACAACCTCACTGTTATGTAATGTGCTAGTGATAAACACCGAGCAGCCATCTGTGTTTCAGAGAATCTCCACAGTAGATTTATGGTTCGAATGAAACGAGAAAAACAACCACGTTGTAGCTTAGTTTGAGCAAACTGCAGCGAAAGTTGAGTTTTTTATCCATCAGGTTCTAACTAAATGAAAACATTCACCCCGAAGGGCTTGTTGTTTGGACATAAAAAAAAGAGAAGTAATCCATCCAGCACATCTGGTCATGACTGAAACAAGTTGCACTCCTCCTTCTGTGCGGTCGTTTGATTTGATTCGAGTAAAAAAGTTCCTTAAATCAGGGACCGAGTTCAACTAAAAGTCGTTTCTGGAGGACAAACTGGTCCAACTCAAGCCAAATTATACAAAATCCATTCCAGTGTGTTAAGTTTCAGATTAAATGACGTGAAGGCTGGTTTTATGTTAATTATAAAGCAATATGTCGTCATTTGATCATCTTCTTCTTTCACGTTGGTAAAAAGCCACCTATCTTTGCAGCGATGCCTCCTCCTAATCAAGCATGTGGTGACAGTGGAGAGAAAATCTTTAACTTTTAACAGAACCAGACTGGACTTAATGTGGGTTGAAAAGAGATGTAACAATAAAGAAAACAAGAAAAAAAAACAATAACAACGATGATGCAAGGAACCAGGCGTACTTTCAACATGAAAGAAAAACAAACTTCATATGATGTATTAGCACATCAATGGCTATTTACCAACTACAGTGAGAAAGTGAGAAAAATTGCACAAAAAAAGACCCTCAGCACAATACCACCAGCACTGTGTTTGAAAACTGAAACAGCTGAAACTCCTTCAACTATGTGTCAAGTTACTGTGGGCAAATAGCTCAATCTTTGTCTTATTTGACCTAAGAAAACACTGAAAATGTTCCGTTTTGTTTTCCTTGAACTAGAAGAAATGTCTCATAAAACTCAAAAATATGTTTTCAAAGTAGAGAAATCCTATCTAGACCCGATTGGTCTGGATACGTATGATTTTGATAAAATATTCCAGAAGATTCCTTCAAAAATTTGTCAGAATATTCCTTTAATTTAAGGTGGGAATCAGCTGCCGATGTCAGCGCAGTACTCACACTAGATACAGGGGGCAGCACTGATTCCCACTGCATTGACACGCAAAATGTAACAGATACTCTTTTAGCTTGCACATCATTTTTGTTTTGTTTAGTTTTTTTGTCATGTGGCGCCCTTCTCTGGGGTGCCGCCCTGGGAGGATAGACATCAAAGGCTTTGGAAACCAGGATGAGTGAAAACAACAAAGAAAAACATCCTCCAGTGCTAAACTAAATACCTTATATGTGCATATTTGAACTTATAATCTTCTAATTAGTTTGGGGAAAAAAGACTTTTCTAACTTCTATCATTCTTCTCCAGTTAGTTGCTGATTATTTGATTTATTTACTGCTATTCCTGATTATTTGACTTTATAAAAAACATTAAGGAGGGTGCAGGGATACTTTTGACATCAAAATAATCCTCAAAAACCCAAAGTTGTCCATCTGCTTTTTTTAAAGAGTTATTACACCAGGTAAAATCATGCCATCCTGGAAAATGATTTGAATCACGTGTGTCAAACTCAAGGCGCGGGGGCCAAATCTGGCCCGCCTTAACTTTTTATGTCGAGGGAGACATAAATAGCACCGTCAAGATAACAGTGTGCTTAAATATGGTTTTATCTATCAAATCAAAGCAGTTTTTATCTGTTTACTGCCAAATTACATCAATCAGTCCCTCCACTTTTCTGCAAACTATCGTGGAAATTCACACAAAATCAACAAATCCCTACATTTTTGATACGGTGAGTAATACAAAGTCGCATTTCCCATAAGTGCAAATATTTCAAAATTAGAAACCAAACACCTTGATTTTTATTGCAAAAAAATCCCCAAAAACAATTGCAAAATCCTGGAAGGACTGAAAAGATGCTCAATATTGCTTAATTTAAAGAATTTATTTATATTTTAACATTTTGTTGACAGGTTCTAGCAACAGATTATAACACAACCGGTGTTCTGAAAGATCATTCATGATCTTGATTTGGCCCAAAATCAAACTGAGTTCTACATGCCTGATTTAAAAACATTATTACAATCTCAAATCGATTATATTTATGCACACGATTATGACGTAATCATGTGCTAGAAAGTGTCCTAGTCTCTCTTCATTCAACCGGGCACATAGTTGGAAAAGCCTTTATTTAAGTGATATACTTTTAAGGACATACAGCATTTGTCTGAAGCTATTTATTATGCATTCCTGTATTGTAACTATTTATAATAATAATAATAATCTCCATATCTCTGCAGCCTTAAGGACAGCCATGTTGGGCGTCGTCCTCCTCCTCCTCTCCTCCTCCTCTCCTGGGGTCACGGTTCCTCCTCCCAACGCTCCCTGCAGCAGATGCTGTGACCACATGCCGCCAGCAGAGGGCAGCGGAGATCCTCCGACAGGGGCGTTTGGCCACGTCCCGGAGATTCGCACGTACATCAACATGACTATACTGAAAGGTGACTTGTTGCAAACGTGTTTTTTTTCTTTTTCTTTTTCTTTAAAAGCCGGAAATTAGAAATTAACTGAAAGAGAGTATTCCTCCACAAACCTGATTAATCAGGATTCACATATCCTTCATATTTTATTGGGGGTAAACTCAACGAAATATTTGACATTTACTTGTAAAACAAATTGGAAGCCGTGCACTTCGTATTTATGTGTCAATTTGTGTTTTTCTACTGCATAAAATCCTAATCAGATAATCAAGCTTGTGATTTGATTAAAATGTGACAAATTAATGCGAATATTTTTTGCAATGCAGTGCTTGAATCAGCCCAGTTCTTACCGTAGAGCCAAAAAATCCTTTGAGTTTATATTCATTTAAGAATGTAATTTTTAAAAGAGTTGGAATATTTGAACTTCTGATGTCTTCAATAAAGAATCTACAGGTTTAATTTGAGGAATAGATAGAGTCAAGTTTACAGCACATTTCAGCAACAAAGCAGTTCAAAGTGCTTAACATCACCATATCATAATGCAGTCATTATGAAACAAGCAGTGAATACAAAATTATCAAGCAAATACAAATCAGATATGATGCTCAATGTTCCAGTTACTGCTAATCAGGTGTGATTTTTTTAGCCCTGATTTAAAGGAACTCAGTGTTTCAGCTGTTTTGCAGTTTTCTGAACTTTTGTTCCAGATTTGTGGAGCATAGAGACTTAATTCCGCTTACTGGATTCATGAGTAAAAATTAAATGCCGACCGGTTCCCCACAGCTTGCCGAAACTTCACCAAAACATTAGATGAGTCTCACGTGACCTCCCCGTGTCCCCGTCTGCTGCAGGATGTTTTGTGGGTTTTCTTGGAAGCGCTGCCTCGTTTAAAAGCCGCCCACAGAAGGACGTGTTCATGTTTTTTTTTGTGTGCGTGTGCGGATTGGTTATTATGACTTGGCTCATTTTCCTGCTCATTTTCCTACAGGAATGTTCACTTTCAGTGTTGCTGATCAGACAGATCAACCTCAGGGTGGAGTTTTTTCAGAAATGAAAGGATGTGGACCTGATGGAGAGCAAGAGAGTCGGTTTCTATTAGCCTTTGCTCTGCATTTTGTTTTGTTTTTTTGTTTTTGTTAGTAAACTTTTTTTTTTTTTAAAAGAGACATTTCCTTCAATTTTTTTCTCCAATAAAGTATTTTTTATGCATTTTCAGTGGGTCTTAGTAACTAGGTGTTCAGTTGCATTTACTTTTAGGAGTATTTTATATTATGCTAGATTTTTTACTTGAATGATTTTGTTATGATGTATCACTGAGTAAAATTGTGTCAGCAATTGTAACCAAATACTAACCAGACACAGACACAAATCTGCAGTTTTTGTTGGTTTCAAAAGTTTTATATTGAAACATTTGGAAAAATGTTTCTTTTGACTTATTTCGATATTTTGTATTTATCTTATACATATGAATTATTTTCATTTTGGCCTTTAAAATACATCTGATTATGTCATGTTTTAGTATTAAATGACTGTTGGACTGTTTGGAGTAGCATTTTTACTAAATACTGTTTTTACTCTTAATTTGTTGTACGGCTACGTTTTACTTTTACTTGGATAAAAATATGTTCAACTTGAGTAAAGTTTTTGCCTACTCTACCCACCTCTGGTCTTCACACCAACCTCACTCAGGTGACAAAGGAGATCGTGGGGACAGAGGAACCCCAGGGAAAGTCGGACACGAAGGCCCTCCAGGGGCCCAAGGCGTGGCGGGGTCAAAGGGCAGCAAAGGCCACGCGGGTCCTCCGGGAGACCCCTGCAAGCTTCCGCACTCTGCCTTCTCCGTGGCGCGCCGTAAGTCCCTGCACAGCGACGACGCCTACCAGGCGGTGGTCTTCGACACGGTCTTCGTCAACCTCGACGGCGACTTCGACATGTTCCAGGGGAAGTTCCTCTGCCGCGTCGCCGGGGTCTACTTCTTCAACGTCAACATCCACACGTGGAACTTCAAGGAGACGTACCTGCACATCATGCAGAACGACACGGAGCGGGCCATCGTCTACGCCCAGCCCAGCGACCGCTCCATCATGCAGAGCCAGAGCGTCATGCTGGAGCTGCGGCCGCGCGACGCCGTGTGGGTGCGCCTGTTCAAGAGGGAGCGCGAGAACGCCATCTACAGCGACGACGTGGACGTCTACATCACGTTCAACGGATACCTCATCAAAGCCGGCGAGGAGTGAGAGAAACAGAGGGACATTTCGGTGAGGCTTTCTGAAAATTGAGTTAATTTGCCAAAGTGTTCACGCCGTTTTCACGTTTTGTCAGGTTACAGCCTCAAACTTCGATAAATCTCGCGATAAAACAGTAACATTTTTCTTGCCTGGCATGTCTTAACAAAATGTGCGCATAACGACTAAAACTCCATCCATCTTCCGTGTTTAAGGAAATAATTCCTTCAGCAAACAAGTATTTTTGGTATTTTTGGTAAATATCTTGGTACATTTGAAATTAAGACAAAACTAACTTTTTAGCACCACAGAGGAGCTTGTTTTACGTCAATAATCCCTTAATATTGATGAAAACGTTCTAGATATAAGTTAAATAATCTGCCAGTGGAACAGGACATTTTACCTGGACAAAATGTGTCACCAAGGTGATGTACAGTATTTGTTTTTCTCCACCGTTTTGATCTCGTCTCAGCAAAACGTCTCTGTGTTTACTGTGTCCCTTACATGTGGTTTTCTTTTCCACACATCTATATTAACTATATTTATCATATTTTGGTAACGTCCAGCCTAACAAACAGGCTAAACTCTGTCAATACGGTATTACATCTGGTTTATCCCATAAAATTTAAATAAAAATAAAAACGTTGCGACATGAATAAAATGTGAAAAAGTTTAAGGATGTGAAAACCTTTGCAGCAGTTGATTGTTTTTTTCGATTTTTAATTTGGGATTAAAAACCAAAACGTTAAAGGAGACATTACGTTGATGTTTTTTCTGTTAAATTCTCAGCTTGGTTTTGGGGGCTGGCGTCGGTGGTGCTTGTGGTTCATCCATCCATTACTGGTCACTCACTCTGCCACGAACTTATAAAACTCTAAGGATTAAAGAGGAATAATTTGACTGCGATATCCTTCTTCTGTAAACCAATTTGTTAGACTTGATTGTAAGGTATAGGTTCTTTATTCTAGGACTTTGAAGTCCAAATTCACTTTACACTAACAGATCCGTAACAGCTTCATGTTTACTGTGTTGGAGTCATTTGGGAAACTTTAACTAAGTCAAGAAGCCACTGAATGCAGCATAACCACACTGGGAAATTCGACCCAGGACTGTAAATTTATGCTGGAAAGAAAATAACTCTCTCTGAGGGGTTTTGACCCAACTTTCATTACAGACATTTCAGTACAACCTCAGGAAAATCTGTCAAATTGTGAAAGATGTACAGGATAGTTAACAAACATCCTCAAAAATTGTTTTGAGGCTCTATTAAAGTCTTTCAGCGTGTTGATGTAGGCTAAGAAAATGCATGATCTGTGCTTTTCTAGTGGTAACAAATTGTCTGATTTAACTGGCTAATTTTAAAATCGGTTCAGGGTTTCGCTCAGTGTTTTATAAGCCTGGCGGGCCACCAGGCTTTACTTGTGCCCCCATCAGGCTAATCATTGCTTATTTATTTAAGTCTTTTAAAAATGTTTGCAGTTTTTAAGACTTTATAGCAGGGGTCGGCCGGCCTCCTGAACAATACCAGAGAGCATTCAGATTTTTTTCATTTATTGTATTTTCCAGTTTATATGTGGATTTTTCTTCAACCACCAGGGGGCTCTTTAGCAGGAAGTGTGTCCTGTAAATTGTGGGGCGCATTGCTGCCATCTGTTGGACTTTTAGGGAACTGCTTGACTTTTATGTTATTTAATCAGTACGGTTGTTTGCTAGCGGTAGAGCAGATGAACACACTTTATGAACGCCGCATTCCAGGTCGAGTTCTTCGAAGCGATGCCTGTAAGTAGCAGCTTATACTTCAAAACGAGCCTTTATGTTAACATATTAGAAATTAATATGTTAAAGTTACTTTCCCTCAATGGAATATATATTAGTTAGTCCCAGTGACCGTTTCACTCATGGGTTTTGCCCATGTGCTTTCTGGGTAAAAATCAATCCCCCCCGCACCCCCTGTCAACAATCTCCGGCCCCCCACCAGAGAAGGGAAAAGTTATTTGGCCCTAACAGGAAAAAGTTTGGGGACCACTGCTTTATAGTAAGTGTTCATGTGTTAATTTTCCAATCTTTCAATAACACATAATTATCAAGTGATATTATCAAATTTCCTGTCAACTTCAAACATTTTTTAACTCAAAAACACAATGGGCTGCTGGATGAATGACTGCCCTAGCGCCCAATCACCAGGCTTAGCGAGTTTTCTGGAGGAAACCTTGTACGTTTCTTGCCAACAAGTTTTTTTCTGTGTTCGCACAAAACTGAACTCACTGAATTATCTTTCTGAATGACTCAGACTAGGGACAAGGAATAATAAAAAACTGATGTTGCCAAAAAATGGCAACAAACAAGATTTTATTTATTTATTCAATAACAAATAAATAAATGATGTATGCCTTAAAATTACTGTATACTCTATTCCAACTGTCTACATTCATTAGACACCAGAACATTCAACTACGTGAGTCCAAGATGATTGCATCTAAGCTGCTTAGCAGATGTGTAAATATATGAAAAAAGGAAAATCATAACTAAAACCATTCTGTTGGGTATGTTGTAAAGTGTTTAAGCTTGAGTGACAGATAATGGACATAAACTCAAACTTGAATAATATGCCTTTTGTTATTTTGACTCATCACGATGAAAATCTAGACCAGTTTATAATTTTATCACTATGATATTTTGATATATGTTGCGTACTATTAAAAATATGGAGTGAAATTAAACTGTGTTCCTCGTGTCTATAAGAGACAATATCGATGAGATAGTGTCAGAAAATCAAACAGTATTATGTAAGGGAGCACCAGCAGGCGGCGGCGCTGCAGGAGGAAACGGTGCCACTAGTTGGTCAGTAATGTCTCTTCACCAGCCTGCCTTCAGTCTCCATGGTAACCAGCTGTTCTGGATGAATACTAGCATGGACGTTAACTCAGTTTCACTCTACAACATTAGGCTAACAGCTAATTGCTAGCAGTACTAGCATAGCACGTCCAGGTGCATTCAGAGGCGGCCATGGAGACTGTTAAAACAAGCTGGTTATTCTCATTTGTGGGTTTACATCCTTATCTATCAAAACAACAGGCATTAATTAGGCATAGAGACAAAGTTAAGTATACTTATCAGAAAGAAGAGAAGCTTCTACAAAATATAAGTAATGTCTTACAATGTCTTATAAGTAAAGATTATTCTTATCCAACCTTCAGTTTGTTCAAGGTTCCCTAATGCTGCTATGTTCCTGTTCCTGTCCAAATCACATACATTTTACTTGAATGGCATGTTTTCATCTATTTTGAGGAGACATTTGTGTCAACTCTTGCTTACACCAAATCAGTGATCCCTAATCAAATTATCTAAAATATTTTTGATTTGCCTAAAAGGAAGTACTGTGTAGATTTAAGATAAATCTTTAAATTGCAACTAGCAGTGTCTGTTTGGTGTACTACCAATTCTATGTATTTAAAAAAAAAATGTACAAAAATCAAAGATGAGTTTTTTTCTGTGGGCGAAAGAAGTGATTCTGGACGGTGTTTTGAATGGATCCAGTTGTAGTTCTTTAATTTGACCTCTAGATGGCAGCAAATCCCTGCTAATTAGCATTTAGTTGTGTTTTACTCCTGGGACGTTTTAGAGAGAAAAAATCACGCCCAGGAGCCAGCAGACCCACGGCCGGAGTAGTTCAGCGTGTGATAAATGTAGATTTTAACATATTAGACAAAACAGACATAGTGAGAACCTAAAAGTCTGTCAGTATGTTTGTTGTAAGACTTAAAATGTAACTTGTTTCTGTAGCTTTAATTAGTGATGTTGAGTTGTCATTTGCAAAAAACACCACACACTCATATTCATTTGTTTTATTTGAACCATAAATAAATTCCTTTTTTGACTTGCAAACATTTCTGTTTTGATGTTATTTTTCCCCTTTGCCCATTGACAGAAAGAAAAAACAAAAATCAAAAGTTGGAATTTTACACAAGAAACATCAACAAAGAAGATGAATAGAAAACCAAAGGTATGAAAATACAACAGGACTTACAGTACAAACACAGCAGAGGTGGACTATGTCCACACCCGCAGTATATGGCCACAAGATGAAGACAAAACTTCCTCCCGCCCCGTAAACAATTCTGCATAAAGATCAGATTTAAAAATAAAAACATTAACAAAGAAACACCAACACGTCTGTGTCTATCACAACAAAGAGTCTGAACAACAGCGACATCCAGCATGGAGTGTGATACTATGAACACCAGCACAATGAAGGAGAATCCAAACAAACGGAGAGATTTATAGCAAAGTCCCACGTTAACAGTTCAGCCAAAAGGCTTTGTTTTTCTTTTGGTCCCTAAATGCAGTTGAAGTCAACACTCAGTATATCAAATATTCCTTTTTGTGAGTCTGTGATCTTAGTAAAAATCAAGTCCTATAAAAATACTTTCTTTTTTTTTTAAGCTGCGTAAACTTTTAGCAACCAAAGGCACTGTCTTTTCCTCACTTTCATCACCTAAACCCATCGATTCATCAAGACCATAACTCCAGCCTCACATATTTCCTTTTAACTAAACACTGATCATGTTGAACCAGCTTCCAGCTGTGCAGGAGTTCATCAGAGCTCAAAGTAATGCTACAAAAACAATGCAATGCGCCGCATAATAAACGCAGAAGCAACCTGTGGATATCATGTTTAGGGGTAAATGACAGCATGTAGTTGCCGTCTGCAGCAGAGCTCAGCATCAGTAACGGGTTCTCGCTTGTTCTCCATTTTTGTTGTTTTCGTTTTTCCTTACCGTAATGTTTATGTTTGGTTTGCTACCAATATGAAGCTTCTAAAAAGTTACAATCTTAAAACCATCAGACCGTTTCTACGTCTTGAAAGTCCTTCTCAGATAAAGTATTTGAAGCATAAAGTAATGCTCCACTCCCCCTCCCCCACATGCTGCTGCACACTGCTAGTCAGCTGGCTGAAAGAATGCTACACCTTCCCATTGATTACAAAAAGACGGAAACTAAAGGCAGCCCTCCATCTTCCTCGTTAATCGTTACTAAACACATGTATTTGAAATAAAAGTAGATCATGTTGTATTTTTTTAAAGAAAAAGTGGAGATTAACAATGTGAAAAAGATAATCTGTCATTTTATTTGCTTTAACATAAACTCTTATCGGTGTGGAGGTATAACAAGGTTTACAAAGTTACGGCCTTAAAACCGTGAAGGTTTTCTTCCACAGTTTGGCTTCAAGAGCAACGCATCGCTGCTCCTGCCGGTCAGGAGGCTGAAACACGGCCACCACACTTCTCCCTCGCTTCGGCTGGGAAAATACATGTAGACCTGGTGTGAAACTAAAGGTAGTGCTGCTTTAAGACGACTCACTGAACGCTAGAAAGGGAAGGTGTGAGCAATGAGCACAGCTAAATTCAGTGGTTGGATTTCTGTGTAGATTTCTGCTACTTTTTCACCTACATTATAGGCAGCATAATTGAAAGTGTAATAATAAATATGCTATTTTCTGTGAAATCAAAGAGAACCTGTGATTAGTTTTTGTTTTCCTTTTGTGTTAGTAACATAATACTGATATTTTTACTCAAGGTTTTCATACCTTAAGTCTCTTAACTGCACTTTTCTCATTTTGTACCCACTTTCACATGTACTTTTGTATAATCCTCTATAAGTTACTACGTCGTAGTCATGATCTGCTGTGTTTAAGTGGCTCTAATAAAGCTTAGAGCGTCCTCAGACTCATTTTTGTAAAGTAAGTTTAATCTACATGATTCTATGAAATACTAATTTTACCAAGGGAAGTAAACTTACAAGCAATTGTTATGAATATTTGTTTTAAGGTCGTGAAATCATGACGGCGTGAGTTAACCCAGACCTGTCTGAAAAGAAAACAAAAAGCAAAGACACAAATGAGAGATTTCCCTTTGAAAAAGATTTTTGAAAAACAAGCAGAGGCACATCTGTGCATCAGTAACCGTAAGAATATGTCTGAGACAAGCCGAGACAAACCCAGGTCACCAGCTGCCTGCTGCTGTGCTTCCTTATGCTGAGGCTACATCGTGGCAACCGGCTTCAAAACTAGCCAGACGCCAGCAGCTGTACTGAGTTTATAGCACGTATTTTGCACGCAGAACCTTGTATAACCGATATAAGTTAATCAGCTCGGTTTCAATGCACGAAAACATACTCTTAAAGTGTGGATACGAGGTAAAAAATAAACTTACTTCAACATAAAATCCCTTTCATGCTTAAAAACATTGCACTTTAAACAATGTGAAATAAACCAGATAACTACTGATAGTGCAGTGATAATTTAAGATAATCCAGCAACACAAAAAAATAATCTAATTCCGTGCAATCACAACCAAAACGGTCTCTGTGCATCGTTTTGTTTTTTAAACAGAGTGCTACCAAAGTGTGTGAATTTAGTCACAAAAGTGGGCACAGATGGTATCACATAAAAACATGGAGGTTAAAGTCCCTAAAGAGGGCAGAGGGACACACAGCTGAATGTAACTGCATGCTTCTTCTGTGACTTAATGAGGCCATGAGTGTTTCTAATCATGTGCACATTCAGTCCAGCAAAGACACGGCGCCTCTCGCTGGCCGTTGGGGCTGTGGCGCCCGCTCCTGTGATTTTAAAAACTAAATTTCGCCCGGGCGTTTGCGCGTTGAGGATGAGAGTCCATCCTCAACGAGTCAATCACTCGTTGAGGATGGACTCTGGCCTGTCGTAACCAAAAAGCCGGAAGTCGGGCTCATAGAGCTTGTAGAGCTGCCGGCGTGCCTCCACAGGCACCGGACCAAACCAGTCCGTCTCCCAGCTGCTCGCCGTCAGATTCCTCTGCGAGGTGGGGAACTCCACCACGTTGTCCACCCGCAGCAGGCGCAGCAGGTGCTCGGCGTCCTCCTCCGCCGTTTCCAGGTGGCCCACGAAGTCGTACTGGATCTGGCACGGGTGGCAGAGGCGGTACACCTGCCGCCAGTGCTCGTTGAAGGGCATGTCCTTCTCGGTCTGCGGGTCCAGGAGGTACTGGGTGAAGTGGGAGAAGGACGGGCGGGCGCCCAGAGCGAAGGCCTCGTCCACGGAGGCCGGAGGCGTGGGCTGGTTGGCGTAGCGGCGCAGCATGACTTGTGCAAAGCGCCGGTAGAAGTCCTCGTTGCGCATCTCAAATTTGTTCCTGTAGGCAGAGATGAGACGCACAAACGGGTCCCGCACAAACAGGAACTTGGTGTACTTCTTCAGCTTCACCTGCCAAAGTTAGGTCCAGCGTTATTTTAAAATACACCAGAAAAATGTATATCAATGCACACTCTATTGCATTTTAGAGCAAAAAATTCTCAATAGTCAGTCAACTAATTTAGTAATCAATTAATCGTTAACTAGAGCTTACAGACTCAAAAGAGGCCATTTGTTGAAAGAACAAAATATTCAGAGAAGTAGTGAAGAAAAAACTGTACAAAATATATACATTTTGAATTTAAGGTATCTACACAGGTTCTACCCAGAACTCCTCAAATGACAGTTCTAGCTTCATCTGACTCAAATTCTGTAAAAAACTAAAATAAATCTCCTGTTGCAGTTATGCAGTTATTAATTGTTTAATCAAACAATTAGAAAAACCTTTTCACTTTATTCATGTGAAGTTGAGGAAAAGGGACAGAGCTTTCCACACGTTGATGCTGCAGATACATCCTCTGCAGCAAATTATCAAGAGTTCACTAAAGGATTTTAGGCAATAAAATGTTTATTTTCTTGCTTAAAAAAGGAATGCATTGTTTATTTTCATGTTTTAATTTATTCCTAAAATTGCATAAAACAGGCTAAGATGAAAAATTTTCAAAATGTTCAAATGATTAATCAGTTAATTGTCAGAATAATAAATAGATTAACTTATAACTAGAATAATCGTTAATCACAGCTCCAGTGTTAAGCAAAATCTTGGCTTCAAGTGAAGGAACGACTTGAAGCTGTGGACCGAGGATGCAACACAGTTCAGGCGACGATGGATGGATCTAGTGGAGAGTTAACAGCCAGACCACTGTGTTCACGACGTTTAGATGTTGGCTGTGCTGAAGCGTCTACTTTCTCAGGTAAGAAAATGCATTGTGATCTTAACACAGTCATGAAATTAAGTTGGCAGTATTTTTCAGAACTAACCTTCATGAGGTGCTTTGCGAACTTGCCGTAGCGCTTCCAGAACTTGTTGAAGGTAAAGTGCATGCTGCTGTTGTGGACCAGGTCCCTGGGGATGGCCAGAGGGTCTCTCTGAGGAGCGCCGTCCTGCTGCAGGCTCTCGCTCAGGACGATCATGATGCGCTTCCAGTTGCTGCACGCTACCTGAAGTTACATTCACAGTAGAGAAACAGATCAACCCGATGTTATAAATGTGACAAAATGTACCAAACTGGCTAACCACGATGCGTACCTTGGGAACATAGCAGTAGATAATGCCGTGTCTGTCATCCACAATGAGATGATCCAGCTCTTTGTTAGGAATGTCATCAAACGAACGGTTTTTGCCCGGAAACGAAACGCTGTCGTTGGCGCAGACCTCCTGGAGTAACCGTCGCCTCTTTTCCTGATTATTCCATTTGGAGAAACAATTATGCAATAAATATCACATGTTGGTTTTTACACTGATTATTTTAACAAGAGTCAAGCATCAAAATTAAACACGTACCAGTGTTTTTATTAGAGGTGAACCGACTGCAGTTTTCCGGCCGATCACGGACCTTTTAAAAGTCTGACCTGTCGATTCTGACCAATAGCAATTTCTTTTGTTGGAAAAATCACTAAATATAGCGAAAAAGTTGTTAAGTTAACCATTGTGGAGATAGATAAGATCAGTGGAAAAGATCGGTTTAACATGTTAGTATCGGCTGATTGCAGATCAGCCAACATTAAAGAAATCGGGGCAGATTTATTTACGAATAATTGAATTAATCGTGATTAATCAATTATTAAAATAATTGTCAACTAATTATCAATCGATTAATCGTTAACTGCAGTATACAGACTCAAAAAAAAGGCTATCTGGTGAAAAAACATGTTAAGAAAAACAATTAAACCAATTAAACCAAAACTATATATATATATATATATATATATATATATTTATATATATATATATTCGCCCACATTTTGTATTTAAGATAAAATCATGTTTGTCTGTAAACATGTTTCACCCAAAACTCCCCTAGTGGCTTCACCTGGTTCAAATTCACTAAAGGGATGCTATGTTATTGAATTTTAGGCAACTAGATGTTTTCTTTATTTAAAAAATGAATTATATCTTGTAATATATTTCGATTACTGTATATATAAAAAAAGAATTGGTAGTTAATTAAAAAAATCTGAAGAATGTGCCAATTTTTGTATCCAACTAATGAATTCAACTTCAGAAGAATCGATAGAATAATCAATCACCAGAAATAATTGTCAATTGCAGCAATAGACTTATCAATGCACTCCTCATATTTATTCGATGCTTTTCTCTCTTCAGCAGAAAACATCCCCACATCCATTTCAGGATGAATAATTGAGTGTTTATTTGCACAAAAAGCACCATGGCAACTTCTTGTAGCAGAAAGCAAAAGGTGAGACAGGAAAGTCTTTTATGAACTGACCTTGTGGGCCGAGACGTTTCTACTATCTGAGTTTGACAGCAGAACATTCCTGCTACAAATACTGTGACTAAAACATGTACGACTTATTATTACTACTTATCAAAACAAAAACTGGAATTTATGATGGAAAACCAGATTTAGGTAAACAGTTATCTACAACTATTAGGGCTGAAACGATTAATCAGATTGTGATTAATCACGATTAATCATATACTGACATAACTGTCAACTAATTTAGTCAGCTATTAATTGCTAGCAGGGGCATACAGACTCAAAAAAATGCTAATTGCTGAAAGAGCAACATATTCAGAGCAGTAATTAAATCTAAACTATATTAAACGTATATACATTTACCATTTAAGATGTATATATAAAAAAACTTTCTCTGTAAATATGCTCAACCCAGAACTGGGATAGTTTTAGCTTCACTTGGTTCAAATTCTGTTAAAAAGAAAAAATGTAACCTATTAAACATCTTTCGGTATTCAATTATTAATCGGTTAATCTAAAAAAAACTCTACAGATTAGCTTTGATCCAATTAATCATTAGAATAATCGATTAGTAAAATTATCATTAGTTGCAGCCCTAACATCTTTAGTCACGATTAGGTCACGGTTTGTCTGGCCCTCTTATCCGCCTCTTTCCGTCTAAAGCTGCCTGTCAGCTCAGCTCACCTGCCTCTCCCGCAGCTCCGCGGCAACTGGCGTCAAGTGAATCTTCCACTCCCTCCGGGGGACGTAGCGCTCCTCTGACTTCTCCGACTGGTTGCTGGAGTCCACCGGCACCGTGTCCGTGGGCTCCCCGGTTCCCGGCTCCAGGAACTGGTTGACGAAGGCGTCGATGTCGGACAGGAAGGACGGGGTCCGGGTGGTGTGGGGCCTCGGCTGGGGCGGCGGGTGGGGGACCTTGGGGCCCGGGGATACTGGGGTGTGCAGGTAGAGGTGAGCAGCTCCCACGTCGTCCCAGTAGATGATGATGAGGAGGATCATGAAAGCCGAGCCCAGAACCACAAAAATGCGGAACATCCTGGATGTTCCCATAGTGACAGCTGCTTGCTACAGAGTCACCATAGCAACAGACTTATGATTTTGCAGGGCGTCTGCACGGCGTTGCCATGGCAGCAGATTATAACAGACACCTGCGTGTTTTCTCATGCATGCACCGGGGGGACGTGGAGACTCGGTTTTGCTGCGGGGCTAAAAACAAACCAGAAGCCCCATGCGGGTGCGGTTAGAGATGCAGCGGCTTCTGAGGAGTCTGGGGTCGGATCGGGCCAAACATGACGGCAGGACTGGAGCCGGCCCGTCAACGACCTGTGGAGAAATGAACACAAAACACGTTTTCTTGAGAAAAAGTATCCAACGGATGACGACAAATCCTATTAAATCACATCTGAATCGTGTTCTTTGTCTCTTTTTGAAAACAACAACAAAAAATCAAGGTCACACAAATCACAGCAACACCATCTAATGTTTTCTGGTGGAAGATATGAGCAAACTAACTGAGAGATGTTTTTCAAAGATAATTTTAGATGGCTTCATCAGATTTTAGATTTAAGCAAAACAAGCAGGCCTGTCCCGATAACAATTTTTACTGGGCGATAAATTGTCCCAGAAGTTATTGCGATAAACGATAATATTGTTGCCTTGAGACAATTTTCAAAAAATATAATGGTAAAGGCATAGTACTGCAAGAACACATTCCCAAAGATTGATCAATTTCTTATTTTAGTCTACATTTAATACTGGAAATTGAAGACATTTTAAATATCCAAAATAAACAAATAAAATGAAATATGAAGTCTTTGTAAAAAAAAAAAACTGTCCTTCAAAAAACAAAGGGATAGTTAAGCCCAAAACACCAGATTGAAGATTTTTATCACCCACTTTTTGGAAAAAAGGAAAAAACAATAAATCATGCAAATGAATATTATTGAACTCGTTTTAATTTATCCTGCGATTAACTGATTTATTGTTTAATAAATAAATTATTATTAATGATTTATTTATTCTTTATTTTTAATGCTTTGCTTGTTATTGGTGTTTAAATAAAACCTGCCAAGAGATGTGAAAGTTGATTTTACTTAGATTACATATTTTTTATTTTATTACAAATTATTTCAAGTTATATACAGTTAAAACCAAACATTTACATACAGTAAATAAAAAGACACACATTTGTTTTCCTTCCTCAGTGCCTGAAGTTATGAAACAAAGTTTGAGGAAGTCTCGGGCGTGATTTATGGTAAGGCTTGTGCTGAATTTAGCATTCTGGCCCCACACCGCTTCCCAGCAGCAAGATCACAAACGTTTGTCAGATATTTTCAGGTCAGGGAGACTCGGCATACCAAAGAGGGATACGCTGAAGCCCGCAGCAGTGTTTGCTTTAAATGCCACTCCCTCCTCAGATAATAAAAGTGCCAGTGTGAGCCACCCTTGAAGGGAGAGGCGGTCATAAAACGCTTCGCAGCCTGACCTCGGCGCACGCTGCACGAGGGAGACACACAGATGCTCACTGTGCTCGCGCGCTAATTAGCTTGGAAGGGTCTGAAGTGGAGGCAGTGTCTGTTCCGTCCCCGAGTCGCATTTCCTGCATCTCGGGGATAATTGGGTTCCAGTCTTCTAAACTTCTCCTTCCTGTTAGGATCAAAAGTCACGGAGCGTCATTTTCTCTCCCCCCCCCCCCCACTCACTTCTAAACCTGGAGCTGCCATGCATCGTGTTTCTGTAGCTTGTCTTCCCCTGAAGCGAAGAGGCAATTATTGACATGGAAACGTCTGTTAGGAGTCAGCAGACATCTCTCCTCTTCCTCCCTACAGACATTTCAGCTGCTGTCTTACTACATCGTGTTGTATTTATCATTGCCGTCGGCAACAACACGAGTGCTTCAGTGCAGTTTGTACTTCATAGACTAGTGGCGCATCAAATAACTCGTGCTGGGTCAAAGGCTGCCCATTTTCCTTTGACCGGCTCGGACCAGGCAGGTCACGTTCTGACAAATCCAAGTTTATTCTCAGTTTTTCCTGTTTAAAACTCGAATAATCCCATATTTCTAGCCTTCGAATACATTAAGAAAACAATTTATTCTGAGTTTAGTAAAAAGATAACGGTTATAGATTTATGCTTGTCCTGCGTAAGTGGGGATAGCTGCAGTAATCCCACTATTTTTCTGTTTCATTCAATTACCTCCATCAAGAAACTGAATTTTTTTTCTCCTTTCATGCCCCACATTTATTACATTTAACTGCTTAATTCAAAACCAGGCTTACACCAGTGAGTCTGTTTGAGGTGATTTTGAGTTTTCAGAAGGAACTCCAGCAAGAACACCCACTGAAGCTGGAGTGTTTGTAAAAATCTTTCCGTGTTTTGAAGTCGCATCGAGTGAAACTCAGATAAATGTTGGCATCAAATTCATCCATAAGTGGTATAATAATGTGAACGCCTCCATTTTCTGAATTACTCAACCACTTTCAAAGACAGCGAAGCAAATTTATTTCCTCTTTTTCATGTGTTTTCAGTCCAGGGTTTCCCCCAGTGTATTATAAGCCTGGTGAGCCACCAGGCCTTACTTACCCACCCACCAGGCTAAGCATCATTTATTTAAGTTAAATGAGGCTTTTTATACTCCTGTAATGGTGATACTAAAGACAGATTAAGCTAGGTTTATAGTTGACGCATTGATGGGCTTCACATACACTGCCTGTTCCTGCACCTCTGAATTTGTGTATCTTTTAACATTTTTAACACAAAAACATGGTGCATCACCAGTTTGCTGCCCTTGCACCCCTTCTACCGGGTTCAGCCAGGTTTCTGGGGGAAACGCTGCAGTCTTATAGGCAAGAAGAAAATATTCAAATAGGTCAAAGGTGGTAAAAAAAAAAAAAAGAAAAGCTGAAAATCTGAATCAGCAAGGAAAAGCAGGTTTAAATTAGGTCACAATAACTGACCATCTAGGTTAAAAAACATTCAGTAATTTGAATTAGAGTTGGACAATATATCAAATTGCAATGCAGTTTCATTGTGTGTAACATTTTAATAGCAAAGCACTGTTTGAATGTGTTATTTATAACGATGTAATAACATTTAAGGGGGCATTCAAACTCTGAATGTTATGAACAACTTTAGTTGGTTGGATGGATTTTTTCTGTCTTTAAAATCCAGAACAGTGGTGGAAAACAAAGAGACTATTATTAACAATGTTGCAATAGTCATCAATTGTAATGATTTTTGTTTGTTTTTGTTTTTCTTTACATTAGGATTAATCCAAATGAAGTTATTGTGATGATTTCTGCTACTGTTATGAATGTAAATCCATAACACTATATTAAAAGAGATTTAAAAAGCATTATGGTTAGTTTTGTGTTTTAATTATTCCAAACTGATTAGAGAATCAGAGTAATTTCATTTCCCACCATGCATTTTCAAAGAGCTTGAACTTTGAGGTCGTGCCATTCACCTTAGTTGATGTCCGTAAGAATTTAATTTCCCACCACGTCGCCCCCGTCTGTAACCTGCAGCTCCAGCCCAAACGGGAGCCTGGGCTGACCGCTCGGCTCATATGAATCCCTCCGTCCAGTCCGCAGCAGCCCTCAGCGGATGCCAGACCGGACACAATGCTACCTTTGACGGACGAGCAGCGGGAGCCCTCAAACCCCAACCCGACCGGGACTCGCTCGGTTACAGCGTCGTGTGCGGTGCATTTAGGCGAACACGTATGACTAGTGGGTAAAGAAAACACCGAGTTTCGGTGGTCACGGTGGGGTTGTCACGCTGTCAGGGTGTCTAACTGTCAAACAAGTCCAAAGCACTGGGGCAAAGGAGCATGCAGGAGGAATGAGCAATAAAACCTTATAATATTTAGTATTATGGTCATATTTTTATGTAAAAAAAAAAAAAAGAACAAAGGCATGTAAGAACTACGCGTCCTCACCTCTCTTTTCCCTTCCGGCTCCTCTAGTCGCGTTAGCTGAGCCTGCCCAGTCGGCGCTCCGTGTGATGAGAGCCGCTGTTTTTTCCGTGGGAGATGGAGCGGGATCTCAGAGCGAAACACCGCGAGAGTTTGGTAGCCTGATGTTTCTGCAACGTGAGCTCATGAGGGGGAGATAAATTCACTTTTCTGGGTCAGCTCCAACATGACATTTCTCTGATCCGGGATGATTCACGTATTTCCATCCTTCCCACGGGAACAGATGGTTAAAAATAACTTTAAAAACCGGACTGCAACATTAAATGTAAAAAAAAAAAAAATTAACAAAAACGAGAGAAAAATAATAAACAGTTTATTACAGTTAGTCGCTGTGACAATCGTTATCTTGATTAGGTGATAGTGAAGACAGTTAGCTGATTCATGTTGTAACCTAATCTGTGAGGGATCAGACATTGTGAAAAAAATTTGCTTAGTGTAATCTCTTTTTTCCTAGCAGCTGGCTCAATTCCCTACACACACACAGTTTTACAACACAAAGTGGGGGAGGTAGTGCACCAAATTTAGCTTTTCTGCTCCATATACCTGATAGGAGCCGCACTGGGAATATTTTCCCACATATTTTCCATGAATGTACGATTATTTGGCTTTCTTGGAAAATATGTTCCTCAAAATTCCCATTTTTCCCTCTAGAAAACCACAATAAACACTTTTGATGCTTTTTTAAAAATGCTTTTCTTCATGTTTTGCTCATTAAAACATAAAGATAGATATCAACAATAATGTGTTTTCTAGGTACAAGTTTGGACAGCCTTCCTCCTCATGTTAAGACCTCGCTATTAATCTTCAGGGAGACGAGTTTGCACTGCTCCTTGGATAATATATGAGGGTTTTCTTGCATGCGCTGTGTGTTTCAAGTTACTCTACAGATCTGGGCTTTTACTCAGTCCAGCAATTTCAAATGCTTAGTTTTCACTCAGTCCCTCATGAATTTATTGATATTTTTGAGGTCGTTTATATGTTGTCGGATCCAGTTCTGCTTCAGCAATATTTCCTTTACAAATAAGTTGCAGGATTTCTGAGCTTCTCAATAATCTGACAGTGTTGCACCTTCAACAGCACTCCTTTCACTCATCCACTCAAAAAGGCTTCCTATTTGTAGCTTGTCTGCATTAAAATTAGTCAAGCAGTTAGTCAGAATTTCATCTTGAGATATCCTGTTTTTTTTTAGGCCCTTTTTTTTTTTTTTTTTTTTTTCATTTACCTGTTAAGCTTGAAATGTCTTGACATGACACGTGGTGGGGAAAAAGACTTCTAGTAAAGATAAATGCACCATGTCCTTCAGATATTTATTCATAAAAGCTTCTGAAAACCCACATGATTTTCCTTCCACTGCAATCCTGCAGCAAGCATTCTGTGTTGGTTTTGTCACATTGAGTCCCAATAAAACACACTGAAGTATGTGGTTGTGATGTCATAGAAAGTGAAATGCAGTCAGATTCAATAAAACAGAATATGCACTCATCTTTTAGATTAAAATTGGCTTATGAAAATAACAATAAGCAGGTATTAAACATACTTAACCATAAGCCCACATTTCTGTATTTAAAATGTTTTTATAATTGTGTTTTCATTACTTGTAAGTAGAGATGTGCCGATCAGGTTTTTTCCTCC